CAGCAGGTTCAGTAAGTGCTAATTGATCCCAAAATCCAGTCATAACCGAGTAGAACTTCTGTATGGTCTTATCACCTTGACGTGCAGCTCGAATTTCATGCTTAAGCTAATATCTTTTTGCAAAATTGGACTGAACAAACAATGTAGCTAAATAGTCCCAAATCTCCTTGACTGTGTTAAATTTAGCCAAATGCACACCAATGGTCTGATTAACTGAGTTGTTAATTTCAAGTGATGATTTTAGCATTGTTGACCTCCCAAGTATTTTTTAAGTCAGCATATGTCTATGCCTTCGGATCTGTTGGTGCTTGCAAAACACCACTAACATAACTCCACATCTCTTTTCCCAACAAAAAATTTTTCATTACATAAGACCAATAAACATAATTTTCACCATTTAATCTGACACTAATAGCTTGAAGAGAATTAGAATGTCCACTTGCCATAATGTTAAACAAAGGATCAATGCTCACAACACAATAATACCCAAACCAAGTCAAAAACGAGAGAGTCCAACAACCAAATAAGAAAGCAAGCTGTTTGACCAACAAAAACCAACCAGCTGAACTGTGAAGCCAACTTGCGAAGCCAAGTGCAGGGCCAAGAACAGAGACCAAGGCCCAAAACAAGGACTTCGGCTACTGTTCTTACAGTGAACAGTAGGCTGACAGTCCCAAGCAACCAATATACAACCAAAATCAAACCAAAAGCTTTCAAATCACACAACTAGCCAACCTATACTCTTAATCGCACCTTTAGAGTCGATTGGATGCAAAAAATTCGAGAAATACAACCCCAATTCACAGATCGAAAAATAGGGCCGAAATTTTTGAAAAAACATTCAAAAATTAGAAAACCCTATCCAATGACTTCAAAATCAAAAACAAAACATGCCATTGGAAAGCCCATGAAGAGTCGAGTATAGCAGAGCTCTCCTCGACTCCAGTTTGATGACGTCAGCCCTTGTTCAGAAGAAGTTGCAGCATCTGATACTGTGTTCTTCACAATTTTTTAAGTATGCTAGGATCAAACAATGGTCTAATACCATGTTAACATTGCTCAAAGGGAAGAAAAGACAGGAGGGGTCAAGAATGATGTTAAGACTAATTCATTCAGTAATGCAACCTAAACACAGATACACAATGTAGGCTCTTATATATTAGGGCAACAAAATAATGTAAAATACCTAAACTACCCATAATATAAATACTCTAATGTCTATTACGTTACTTTCCTATCACTTTCCTACTGTGTCACTTTCCTACTGTGTCACTTTTCTACTATTCTACTTTTCTATCATGGGGTTTTCCTGTTATGTTCTATTTTCCTAATATTGTAATTGTCTTCAATATCAATCTATAATATAAATAGGTGATAGGGTGTAGATAATACACACCCTACACACAATACTATTTCATTATCTCTTTCTTTCTCTTTCTTTTCCTTAACCGTAACATACAATTATTCAAGGTTCAACTAATAGACAATTTTTATGTTACAACTGTAGCAACACCGAAGTAAAAATATCAGCAAACTAGGCTACAAGAAATAGTAACGTTAAGCTTTTCTCCTACCTTACTTTCCTCTTCTTTTACTTCTCTTTACTATTCTTTAGAGAAATTAATGTTAATTCATCCACTTTTGGGCTTCAGTCTTACAATTTTTATTCATCGTCAGGACAAAAAATGGCTAATGCTTCATATTAGTTTCTATGATTGTTATCGACACGGATAAAGCCATTTTGGTAGTTTAGATCAGGTTTTTTGTGTTTTGCGATGGAAACAACTTATTCAGCAGAATCCTATGGGTTTTGGTTTTCCACTGATGTTTCGCATAAAAAACTTGTCAATTATATAAACTAAGCATGTGATATAGGCAACCATAGGGAATATTTTACCCATAAAATCAGCATTTCACTTCCAGAAGCATCTGCTTTCTTGATAAGAGTGGCTAGACATCACAAAAATTTGATTAACAAGTATTTGAAGTGAGGTAGTATTGGAATATAAGAACATATTAATTTGGATAGAGTAGCAGTAGTCCTGTTTGTGGTCCAAGTTGAGCTTCCTGAGCTATAATCCCTAGGGTGGACTTGCATTTACCTGCTCAACATGAATGATGAAAGATAAAAATTGATTGCTGTGGTCTGCCTCAGTAGAAGTGGATATTACTCAGTTGAGTGCCACTACTCAAGTAGTGAAAATGAGTGATATACAATGCAATATAGATGCAATACAATTCAGTATTCATCAATGTTAATTGAGGTAACTGTCTGCTTGTTCCAAGTTTAGTTCTAACCATTCATAGTCTGACAGTACCATTATGGTCTCACCAAAGGAATTTTTCATAGGTCTCTTTCAATGGAGGACTCAGTGGCTTGGTTCTTGATACAATTGGTCACACCTTCAGTCAAAAGTACCATAATAGGGTTATTCAAGTAAGATACATCTGAGCACTATTTTTCTAGTCTGTATGTTTGATATTTTATCTCTTTTGAAAAGCTGGTTGTCACACCAATTTTGATGTAGCATGAAGCTGGGCATTTCTTGATTGCCTACTTACTGGGAATTCTTCCTAAGGGGTATACATTAACAAGTTTGGAAGCTTTGCAAAAGGAAGGATCACTTTATGTTCAAGCAGGGACTGCTTTTGTGGATTTCGAGTTTCTTGAAGAAGTATGTTATCTTATACAGATTTCCATTATTGTTTTCAGCAGCACGATTGGTCTCATTCTTTTTACTAGTGCTGTCAATTCTTTCTTGCTTCTAGTTGGTCTTTGATGAAAAGGTTGTCCCTGCTACCCACCCCCATATCTTCTTTTCCTAGATATATATGCCTATTTTTTGTTGTAAATTGTTCTTCCTGATTTAAGCATGGGCCCTGTAGCAAAATATCCACATTTGAACAGCCAACGATATCGGTCACGAGTTGTCACTCTTCTGTGGTGCTGATTGTTTTGCAGTTCCATGCCTTAACCAAACCAGAAGGTGCACAAAAGAACGTCAATTGTTGATAGATAGGATGCATGCATAGGCTGATAATAAAAAATGCCGGGCATAGATGCAAAATTAGCATGAAGCAGCTGATAGTCAATTGCAATCTGAAAGCAATCAAGGATGTTAATTTTTGTATGACTATGGTTTTCCCCAACAAAATTTACCATTCCAGTCCATAAACTGGGAGGCAAACATTTTTATTTTTCGAATTGCTGTCTATGTCTTTGTATTTTGATGTGAGGCTCTTACCCTCCCATGCAGGTAAATACTGGAAAAGTATCAGCCACAGTATGTTTCCGGATTCTCATCTTTAATAAATACTCAAAGAATTGTTCACCCTTCATAACAGCAATTGAAAAACTTCTAATGGTGAGAATGCTTCACTTCAGATGCTGAACAGGTTTTCCTGTATAGCACTAGCAGGTGTGGCAACTGAGTATCTTCTATACGGTTATGCTGAGGGCGGCCTTGCTGATATTAACCAGGTACAGACTCCAGCCACTCAGGCTACATGCAGACAAAAAAAATGTTGTTTGCATATGACTGCTACAGTACTTCTCCCACAAATTCCTCCTGCTTCATATTCTTCAATCAATAGTGAGAGCTTAAGCTATTTCTTTATCTGTCAACTAATTTGTGGCCTCAAACTTTTTTCATGTTTCTTGGTAAGTAAATCTCGAACTTTTTACTTTCCTGCTTTTGAAATTTATTCACCACTCAAAACTATTGTTCAGTTATAAGAGTTTTTCAGTGTTTCCAATGAAACAGTAATGTACTTACTCGCCCATCTATTAAAGTGCCTCTTGACTGATAGATTTCATCTTAGGCTTTGACACAATATGTTCCATTCTCACACGTCCTATATCACCATTGCAGTCTAGCAATTCAATTAGAAAGAACTAGTGTATGCTATCATCACATTTCATGAACCTTTGGGATGGAGTCATTTCTGTCCAATCTCCTCACCATTTTTGCCAGCCTAGAGCTGAGTTTTGATTTTTTTTTTCTTGATGTAGATCGATTGACATAATTTTCCTTTCTGAAATCTGAGATTGAGGTGTTCTTGGAAATGGTAAATTCTCTAAATTTATCATCCTTATTGCACAGAAATGTGAGCTTTTTGCAAGCCCTACTTCTCTCCCCGCCCTCCTCCCCCTTCCATACAATATTGAAAAGATCCCTATACTCCAATTAGAGGCAGACAGTTTTGTCTGTCCCAAGACTCCCAACCTCTGCTGCTTATTTAAAAGTGATTCACCCTGACGTTGATACTACCCCTGAATTTCAGGTGACATTTGTTATTGTTAGAGCTTGTCTCACATTGATATCATAAGACGCAAATATACTTTCTTATGTCTCTGGCTGACTGACTGTGTATCCAAATTCTTCTGTCTACCACTCGATGTGGGATTGGGGACTGTACATGCTTGTCCCACATCAATATAATGACACCACCTCTCAAATTAGCATACGAATCTTGTGAGTCTCTCCACTCATTTTCAGTTGATTTTGAGTTGGATGCTTTGACAACATTCGAGCGATGTAAATCAATACTCTTGTATTTTTTATTGACAACCATAACAAGGACGTTTGTGCTTTAGATATTGCTGGCAAATTTAGTGTCACGAGTATAGCGCTAACTATACTTGGCAGCAAAGAAGAAAAACTATCTGGGCAACAAGTTCTTTTGCATCTGCTGAAACAGTGGCTCCCTGCTGCTCAGTTATATCCCAGCATGAATGATTCCATGCCAAATTACTTCAACTGCTAACTGAAACATTTTGCTTTTTCAACAGTTGGATATATTGCTTAAAAGCTTGGGTTTCACCCAGAAGAAAGCAGATTCTCAAGTCAGATGGGCCGTGCTGAATACTGTCCTACTTTTGCGTCGCCATGAAAATGCACGAGCCAAGCTTGCAGAAGCCATGTCTGAGGGAAGATCTGTGGGCTTTTGCATTGAAATTATAGAGAAAACGATAAGTGATGCTGATATGTAGTTTCATCTTTCGATGCAATGCGAAGTTCCTGGAAGTTAGAATTTGCTGTCCCCAACCCTTGTTTTGCTTTCTAGAGTCCCTTATTTGATATATGATGGTCAAATTTAATGACCAATGTTATGCTTACCAAATCATTTATAAAATTTTTTATTTCAAATTAGTGTGTGATTGGATCAGTGGGTCTATTAACTTTCACAAATCATTCAGTGCATAGGATTTTGACATATCATTTGAAATATAACATTTAATAAACAAATTTGAGAAGTACAGTTCTATCGATTCGATATACCCTCTCCTCCCAATCTCTCTCTCTCTCTCACAAACACACCCCCTCCCCCCTTCCATACACACTTTTAAATTGTATTCGTTCAGACTTATTTATCATATTATTTCTCCTGAACCAAATTACCTAATCACTGTACAAGGCAATTCTGAAAAACGAAAAATTCTCTATTCAAAAAATTCACCTAGTCTACATATGTTAAATATCTATCATACTTGAGAAACTTGGTACATCTATATAACAGTGGGGAATCTTACCTTGCACCTTGATGATTTAAGCTTTCTCACTTTGCATTCTTAAAAATGAGATTTTTCGTATTGCATTCTCAATGTATTAAAAGTATTTTCATGTGGCATTTCCATTATTTTTTGTTTCTTATTCTGTCAAAATTCACCTCATTGAAGTTGACGGAATAATCAACATAAATTAATGAAGAGCCACATCGCAATATTTGTAATACATTGAGCGCTCGTTTGATAGACGTATTATGAAGAGATTAAATATTGGATTATACTATTTTTTATTTAATAGGACCTAATACTTTATTTGATAAGCAAATTTGATACCGTATTAATATAAAAAATATATGTTAGTTGTATACTTATCGTCTATTTTTTATACGATAAACCTGTATTATAATGGTATTTTAATATTACCAAGAGAGCTGATATTATAATATAACTCAAACATATTATTTTACACATTTACTATTATAACCCCCAACTGATAAAATAAAGTTGTCATAAATATAACAAACACTGTTTGATAGTATTTTTATTAATTCAACATTAATAAGATGAAATATTTCTCTAACCAAACAACTAACTGGATTAACCAACTACTATCCAACATTTATATTGTGTACTGTCAAACACTAGGTAAAATTACTTATTATTTTAATACCCTAATTAATCTTGTCTTTTGTCCGCATGTATTGTATTAGACTGAATTATTTTATTTAATCAATTCATTTCTAATATGTTAACCAAACAAGCCCTAAAGGTGCAATGTGAGGGTGCAAATTGTATATTCGCACATATATAAAATATAGTTGTTTTTGAATCTCAAAATCAAAAGATGGTTCATGTCATTTTGGGATAAATAAAATGATCTTTCGATGGATGATGTTGACTCAACATAAAAACAACATAGATCAATTCAGAATATATTGATCTGACGAATCAAAATGAGTTTTAATTGCTCACCAACAAAAAAGTTCAATTTTATTTGTCATCATTCACACCTCTCTCTTCGTAATTTCATTATCACCCAAATTTCCTCCATTTGTATCCTCATATCTCATTTCCAAACATTTCTCTCAACCATATCTCCTTAAAAAGTTTTATTGCTAAAAAATATTTCAATTTTTGAATCCCATCCCAATCAACCATAAATCCAATCATCTTTCCCCAGTAAAGCCCTTACACATGTCCCCCTCCCCCCCCCCCCCCCCCTTCTCTGTAACGCCCCAATTCATAATTTGGGCATTAACTATCTACAAATCATCAAAACATGAGAGCAATTAAATAGTATCCAAACATATATTAAAAAAATTCAACATTCACCATAGGTAAGTAAAACTCTCAAAGCTAACTTAAGTAAAACTCTCAAAGCTAAATAAAGTAAAACTCTCAAAGCTAAATAAAGTAAATCCCCAAATTTTACCTACAAAATATTTAAATAATACTAAGTCTCAAAATAAATTAGCAACTACCGAATGTTCTTTGCATCACAAAGGAATTCATTCTAAAAATTCGTTATATTGAAAGAACAACTTTAAGTCTCGGCTTCGAGATCTCTGTCCTGATCAACCTCGGTCTCGAAGTCTACCTGTTCATTCAATTCAATATTCTTCTTTGTTCCAAAATTTAAAATTATGTGTTGTAGGGCATAAGCAAAAGCTCGTAGGAAATTTATCTCAAATTCAAACAAGGTTTTTAAAGCATAAAACAAAAAACCCTTTTTTTTTTAAAAAAAATGTCATATATATTTTTTGCAATTAAAACAATGTCAGATAGTTTACGAAATATAGTAATTCGATAACAGAAGTAAACAATTATAAATCATAGTAAATAAAGAATAATTAAGTAAATACTATCTCAGATGTCTTATGTATATTGATTGCTTCTCAGGAATTTACACAATGAACTTACCTCATTCACCCACCACAAACACAAGCAACCTCAACCATTTCCCACATGATTATATCACAAACCACTTTAGGAAAGACGTGTACCATTTCACATGGCATTGACGAATCCATTACTATATAAAGTTTATTGTCCTTCAACCTCAGACCTATGTGAACAATAGTGGTTGATCTTTCGAGGAAATAACCCTCTATAAGTGTCAGACAATCATCTCACCTCCATTGAGATAGACTAACCTTTAATATTCTACGACAGCTTTCGAAGGCAATCCAAGTCTGTCACACCCAAATCATATAAGAAATAAAAACTACAACTTTATTCAAAAACCATATACCCAACCAATCATAATTTCTATCAAAATTCAAGTATCACAATTTCACAATTCTCAATGTACAAGACTAAAAGAATTAAAATATGGAAAATATCATATCAAGAAATCATTACTTTTGCAGTACTCGAATTCTTGGGTTTTCTCAAACTTTTGATCCTTGGGGAGAAGAACATACTCTTGAATGTAACATAATTTATTCAAGAATTAGGGTTTATAATTCCAACATGAAAGAATATCATAAGGAAATCCTATAACTTTTCAAGAACTAGGGTTTTGAAATTTAAGAACGAATAAATAATGCATAAATGAATGTATTTTCTTCAAGAATGATTCATAGGTTTTCAAAAAACCAAAATAAGATACTTTTTTTTTCATAATAATATCATTTAAGAGTAAAAACATACATAACTAATATCCTAACTTCAATGAAAGAATTCAAGAAGGAACCCCTACTTCAATCCGATGTTTGATATTAACCCTAGGATGTTTGAATCAATCCCAATGTGAGAATCCATTTGAATCTTGTGTTTTCTCCTTCTATCTCGATCTCTAGAGGTGTCTAGAGTTTAAAATTGATGAAATATGAGGGGCATCCCTAGGTATTTATAAGATCAGAATCTGAACAATCTACGAGAGCCTGATCACTATTAAAATCACATTCACGTTGGAGTTAAAAGTGGCGTTCGAACGTGTGTCGTTCGAATGTGAATTACGTTCGAATGTTCCTTGCTCCCAATATCTTAATTTCTGTCAAACACCAAAGTATTGTAACTAAACCCCGTTCGAATGTCATGTGACTCCCAATTCCTATCAGAACTTCCACTATAATTTTGACCTATTTAAAAATTGATTTGCAAAATTTTTGTAAAATACACTTTTTGTATCTCTTGGGATCTAGTTTCTACTGTCAAAATTTCAAATCCATCTAATGTCAAACTAAAAAGTTATAGTTAAAATACTAGGACAATATCTAGTTATTCTCTCCCTAACTTCTCCCTATAGTGAGTACCAGATCCAAAATACATGATATCTTATAATACAACCTATATAACTCATCCCTAATTTATTATTTATGCATGCAATACATAGGACTTAATAGATACATACATACATATATATATATATATATATATATATATATATATATATAATTATAAATAAACAGGGGTTTAGAATCCACCCCTCCCCACAAAAATAAAATTTCATCCTCGAAACTTATCTTAAGTGGGGAATAAGTGAGGGTACTTTTCCCACATCTCTGGTTTTGGTTTTCATGTGGCTTTCTCCACCCCATGTTGTTGCTATAATATTTTCACCAGTAAGATAACCTTATTGCGAAACACTATCTCCTTGGTGTCGAAAATCCTCACTAGTTGCTCTTCATAAGTTACTCCATCATGAATTTCAATTCATTCCAAATCCACTACATGCGATGTCTCAGGTTCACACTTCCTTAGCATTGATACGTGAAACAATACATGTATCCCTGACAACTGAGTTGGTAATCTGAGTTGATAGGCTATCTTTCCCACGACTCTAATCAACTCAACTGGCCTGATATACCTCAGGGCTAACTTTCTTTTCTTGCTGAACTGGAATACTCATTTCTTAGGTGACACCATGAGAAACACATAATCTCCCAACTAAAATTCCAAAGGTCTTCTCCTCTTATCAACATAACTTTTCTATCTACTTTGAGCCGTGTGTAATCTTTCCCGAATTAACTAGACTTTATCGGTAGTCTTTCTAATAATTTCTGGTCTAAATAAGCTATTCTCTCCAGCTTCTGCCCAACACGTAAGTGATCTACATGGTCTCTCGTACAATGTCTCATAAGGGGCCCTTCTAATTCTAGCTTGGTATTTGTCAATTTCTCCTTTAGAGCACACGCCCAAACACATGCCCTTATCATATCTTCCACAATTTGAATTACCTTATCTTATTGGCCATCCGTCTGAGGATGAAAAGCAATATAATAAGGACCAATGCAACCGTCAATTTCTCCTTTAGAGCAGTAAAGGCTAGTTCACACTCTTCAGTTCACACAAATTGATCTCCTTTCTTCGTAAGATGGGTCATGAGCATAGCCATGCTTGAGAACCCTTCAACAAACCTCCTGTACTAACCCGCTAAGCCTACAATTTTCTGTCACATTCTCGTGGTGGTCCCCATTTCATTAATGCTTCAATCTTTGCAGTGTCAACAACTACTCTTTGTTTTGTCACCACATACCCGAGGAACTTCACTTTCTTCATCCATAACTCATATTTACTCCTTTTGGCGAACAGTTTGTGCTCCCTTAAGGTCTGTGGCACCATCCTAATATGTTGTGTGTGCTCCTTGGGTGTCCGCGAATAGATCAAGATGTCATCAATAAAGACAATAACAAACAAATCTAAATATGGTCTAAACACTATATGTATCAAATCCATAAACGGTGTAGGAGCATTGGTCAATCCAAATGGCATTACTGTATATTCGAAATGACCATACCTTATACGAAA